CACCTTTGTCTTCAGAAGTGTGGGTCCCACTCCCAGGAACTCCGTTGTACTGCCCCAATGTCATCTCAAGCAGCCACTTTGTTAAGCCACACCTGAGTGGCCTAGGCCTGCCATGTTTGTGCTCAGAGAAATGGACTCTGGACCCTGAGAGCTCACTCAGACCCCCACCCCCACCCCTGGGCTATCTAGAACTATCTTGTCAGAAGGGAACAATGCGATGGTCTATCTCCCAGAGATGCTTAAGGTCAAAACCAAGCCATTTCTGAGTATTTCCAGCACAGATTCAGAGCACACATTTTGGGTTCCAGAACATAACCATCTCAGAAGCTGAAACCAGGACTTTTATTTTTTCCCCGGATACCAGGGAATTTCTACTATGTTCTTGAGCAGTTCCAGGTATGGATTTCTGGGAATATAGCTTTGTCTAGAACAAGTGATTTAATGCCTGGGAATTAGCTTATTTCAAAATAAGTATGGCTGTGGGGCCAAGCCTGTGACCATTTCACGATTACCCCTCATACTCTTAACAGTGAGTGTATCAGACAGTCAGTCTTAAACCTAACTTCACCTGGGTCCCTGCAGGAACTTTCACTGAAACACAACAGAAGCTACAACTTCCAGGAGAGCCCCACCCCATCCTAGACATGACTTCACCCCACTAAAGCAGACAACGAAAAATCTGGGTTATATTTTTCTTTTCTCAATAAAATCAAATATTTTAATTTTGTGCATTTCATATAAGTCTTAATCAAATTTGCAAACCCCCCCCACCACCACCACTGGATTTCATGTATTCTGTTATATATGTTAAATCCTATCCAGTCAAGCATTTGTCCCTTGGTGCAAGATCATCAACTGGAGTCTAGTCAGCCTATCTAGAGTCACTGCCTTAAAGATCTACTCTCCTTCTGGGTTTTGTTTTTTTTATTTTGAACTTTGAACTCATGTGAGAAAATCATTTAACTCCTCTAGACTGTTATCTCTGGATTTTAACTTCCAAAGGGCTTCAGTCTTTGAACTCATTTCCCCCTAAAAATTGAATAGTCTGATACCTATTTGTCTTCAGAGTATGAACATTGACAGTCTTTCATGGACTTCTTCCTGTGTTCATTCAATCCCAATGCAGCATCTCTGAATCACTATTATTGTAATGGGCAATGGGGCAGGAAAAGGAATTAGAGTTGGGAGAGGAGGAATTACTTTTCAGTTTATTAGTATATTGTTGGATCCACTTCAGAGCCTTCAGAGGGACCAATTACCTATCATCCACTGACAGCCCGAGGACATTACAGCCTGAGGCTGTAGGGGAAGTTGCCTCAAGTCCACCAGGAGCTTAGTAACATCTTCAGATGAGCAGTGAGGCAAGGGTTTAAGGCCAATGCTTGGGGTCAGACTGTGGGCATGGCCAGATGGCTGCAACCACCCTGTCATGTGGCACTCCAATGCACCTCTTGCCAGGAGCTGGGTCTGTGACTGGCCACTGTGCAACGCATCTAGGGCTGGCCAGGCCATCATCATCATCCAGAGGCTATCAAGACCTGGCTGCAGTCCTCAGCAACAATAGGAACCTGAGAAGTCTATAGATTTCAGAAAATAAGCTAGAGGACACTGGGGTAAAGCAGTTGTGTGAAGCTGTGGAACCTCCCAACGGCTACTCCTCCAACAATCTTGGATTGGAGGCCTGTAAGCTAACTGCTGCCCGCTGTGAGGACCTAGCCTCTTCTTTCACAACAGTAAAACCCTGTGAGGAATCAGCCTATTGGGAGAACACCTTGGTCTACAGTGGGGTCACTGTGCTGAGTGAGGACCTGGAACAACCAAAGTGTAACCTGCATGCAGGGGCTGCAAACAGCCAACTTTAAAGAGGAAGATCAACTGTTTCTGATTGCCGAGGAAGAGAGAAATCCCTAGTTGACAATCCTAAGCAGTGTGTAAAAGAAACAGAAAACAAGTGTGAAAATTCCATTCTGATAGATGAAGGTGGTGATGGATGAATCTGATTGATTAGGAGAAAGCACCAGGACACAGAAAAAACTCCAGCAGAATAGTTCATTAGCAAAGGAACACATGGGACAGATTCCCCTCCGGGTACAGAAAATGTCTGCCCCCAGGTCGTGAGCTGGGGTCTTTTAGAGGGGGAGGCTCCTGGGGGATGCAGAAGGCGGGAAGATATATTTTTTAAAGATTAGGCAGGGGAAGCATGAGAGCAGGATTGTTAAAACCTGCCCCCTTTAGAAATCAAAGGGGAAGCCTGCTGTGTTGGCCAAACAGTGGAGAAAAGTCTGCTTTTGACTTCAAAGACCAAGGTACTTTCCTCAGGAACTTGTGGAACCATGAGGCCCTCTTGGTGAGGGAGCAGGGCTGCTGTGTATCTGAACCCTAACACATTCCAAGAAACCTGGGCATATTCCGATGCATAATCACACAGGGTCCCTTACTTTGGCCCATCTGTAAGAATTATAAATCACTGACATTCTAATAAGATAGGATTTCTTTGGCATCTAGTTTCAATGTGTTATAAAAGATGGATGGGTTTTTTATTTGCTAATAGAGGACATGAAGTCAGGGAAGGAGGGGTTCAGGGTAGATAGGAGAGGAGGAGGGGTGTGACCATGATCAAAACACAGTGTATGAAATTCTTGAATCAATAAAAACCTGGAGCATCTGAGGAACACATGCCCCCAATCCAGGCTCCAGGACAAGCTTTACCCTAAACTTTACTCTTATGGCCTCTGGATCCTTTTCGAGGAGGAAACAAGGCTATCTGGCCACACCCACCCTTGTCTCACATGTGTCAGTTTCGTCTACTGGGGGTGTATCTCTGTCCACACCACAGCTGCATATGTTCATGACCTTTGGAGAACCTGACCTGCCCCAAAGCCTTCTCCCCAGACTTTAAGATTGGGCTGGGTGATTAGGTAGATGGGTTAATTCTAGAACTCACCAACAGTAAATTGTGTGGGCCAAACAGCTAGATGCCATGGCTGCCACCCCACCTCTATCAGCAACATGGACGGTCCTTTCCTCACATGGCCCAAAATCCTGACCAGGAAAAGGGTGGTCATCTACTGGCCTCCCTCAAAACCTCAGCACACACTAAACACTTCTGCTGTTCAGAAAGTCCTTACAGTCAGATCTCAGGCCCTCAGGAATTCTTCTGCCAGTAGTGCAAAGCACTCAACAGGGCTGTTCTTCGAGAAGTTCAATTGCCTCAGTCTCCTTCTCCTCTCACTGGCATGACTTCTTATTCCAAGAATACACCAAACTTATTTGTAATAGATGGTTTCCTCTTCCCAGAGACCATCCCTGTCTCCATTAAATGGCAATCTTTCATAGTTTGGTGGAACTCCTCATCTCTCTTTAGTTTTTTTTTTTTTTAACGAACTTTTGCAATTTTCATACAATATAGTTTGATGGTACTTAGATCCCCTCACCTCTCTGCACCTTTCCATACCACCCCAACCACCCAATTTAATATACTCTTTTACACACACACACACACACGAGCGCACGTGTATATATTATGGCCTATAGAGTCTAATTTGTGTCCCCAAATGCCCCTCAGTCCATCCACTCGGACCAAGAGTCTCATTCCTCTAAGACATTTTTCTCCCCCTCCCAGCAGCCATCAACTGCCAAGTTACTTAGGTTAGGTTGGGATTCCTTACCCACTTCCCCCACTGCCTCTCAACCGAGCACTCTCATTTGTCCTGATTTCATCATCAGTCACCTCAGGGTTTCTCATCAACACCTTGATAGTGACTATGCTGAGGGCTGCATGTGCATGGTAGGATGCTCAGTAGAATGCCAGGCCTCTGCCAGCCAATGCCAGGGCCTGTACCTTACAGTGATACTTGAGAATCAGTATTACTGGAACACAAGACCATGGCCCTGCATGGCCCCAAAATGGAGCAGCTGTTCAAAGCTGGTCTCTATAGGCCTTGTTGGAAAATCAATGCAACATATTTGACTTGGCAGCTAAGTTTCTATTAAAAAAAAAAATCAATGACTGATAACATATAATACTTTTATGTGTGTCTGTCTGTACAGGTGCACATGTGTACGTGTGCATGCATGCCACAGATAACCTAGGATGTCATTCATCAGACATCACCCACCCTGGTTTGTGAGACAAGGTCTCTTGCTGACCTGGAACTAGCTAAGCAGGCTTGGCTGGTTGGTCAGAGCCCCAGAGATTCAGCTGTCTCTACCCACTCCTCCTCCTGTGCCCATGCTGGGATTACAAGCATGCACAGCCATGCCTGGCACTTTTTACATAGAACTCGAGTCCGAGGCAAGCACTTACAAACAACTAAGTGATCTCCTCAGACCCCAAGAGATAATACCTTTAAATGACCCTAAACAAAGACCGAAATTGAGTAAATCAAATACAAGATTAAACTTTGTCTTAAAACACAAGTACTGAGGGGTCTTTTGTTCAGACATGATACAATGAACTAATCAAAGATTCTTCCCCATCAATGCAGTCTGACTTCTAATAACTGATCAGATTAAAATTAGTAACTTCACATGAGGTGAAAAATGCAAACGCAATGTGCACACTCAGTTAATTAGAAGCAGTGTTAGAGAACTTTATTTAACTGTCAATCTATCATCAACATCTAATATAGTTTTGATACATTTAGATAAGCACATTAGAAAGAAAATGTAAATTAAATACTATAAAGTGTATTCCTAACGAAACATGGTTTTAAGAGGACATGAATATATAAGTTCAGTGGTTTATTGTCATTAGAAAATTATATTATGAAAGATACAAAAAAAATCAATATTATTATTTCTGTTTATTTTACAATTGGTATGCCATCTTTTACCATTATGGCTTTAAATTTTCATTCTACCCAACAGGTTTCAGAGAATAGTTTATTACATGCCTTAATAAAACATTTAAAATATTTACAAATTCAAAATAGATGTTTTCATAACTGAAAGAGTTTACCTGAGAATGCACTGTAACATTGCTATTTTTCTCCAAGTTGTCAATGTGGCTGAGTGTCTGCATGCCACCTCTACCATCATACACATTGAACTCCTAACAGAACTGGTTAAGCATCAAGCTACAGTAGACTGTTATTAAACTCCCATGTGGTCAACTATTATGCTTATATTTATTTTGAATATAACAATTTAACAAATTATTTGCTGTAGCTATAGTATTCAGATAAGGGGCAAAACTTAAGGTAATGCTACTGTACTGAGTTAGATATGACAGCTTAAAAAGAGAAATCACCACGCATTGAGAAGGCCAGTTCATGTAAACAAGGAGCAAAATGACCCTGTGAATATGCGCTACACTGACTGAAAAGTTTGTCAATATTCTGCATGAAGGAAAAGGCATACACTGTATACACATGATCCTATCATTTGTCTTCAGCGGTCTGGAAAAAAAAATATTGCCTTGAAACATTTTCTTAGAAAAAACTTTTTAGAAGTTCATGTTAAAATAGGCATAATATAGGTATGTATGATGCTCTACAATATATAGAAAACTTACCCACCTTATGGCCAAAAGACAAAGGTAAAATCTTTCCTGTCCATCTATATTACAACTTGAAAATCACATAGGTATGAGGTAGTGTAGTTACTTGTATTACATGCTGGCTATTAAAAGTAATGCTGAATTTTAAGAAATATTATACTTGGCCAATTATCAGACACCATTAAAATAAAACCTTTAATGCTAAACTGTTTGTAGGTAGAAATTTAAACCAAGTGTCTTAAAAATTATATTTAAATTGTGGAAAGAACTAGGCTTTATCATAAAACAGTAACTTTCCAAAGCAGGTATTTACAGTTGCAATTAAAGCAAAGATTATTTGACAAGTGCACATACACAATGACGGCAGACAGCTGAGTGTACAGTGAGGTAGGAAATCAGGGTTCCATTGGCTTGTATGAGATCTTACACTCTGTAAACCAGAGAAGTAACATTTGTTTTATGCTGTTGAAATCTAAAATTACAAGTAGCAAACAAACAGTTACGTGGGAACACATACAGACACAATTCTTTTGTAATACGGGATGCATTATCATAGAATGACCATTCTCTCCCAGACAACTTGAGTACTTCCAAGTTTCGACAAAATAATCCCAACTAATTTTTCTCTTCTGAAGATAACATACAAACACTGAGAATATACTAGCACTACCCACCCTCCCTCCGTCCCTGCACCCCAGTGAAAAAGGGCAACATGTGACAACTTACTCTGAAAGAGTGAGACTGGTCCCCATATCTTCTCATGGCAAATGTTGGCTTGCAGCCAATTTGATGCCACACTGAGGGTGGCTCTCTCTAGATACCCAGGCCCTTGTCTTGACGCAGCATGCAATAAAGACAAGTGTCTCTTTCAGATGTCTGACCTGGAAGGATGAAGTCCTTTCTACCAACAATACCTCTGCAGCACTTTAAATTCTGCAAACACTTCTGTAAGCATAAAAGCATTGAGTATCCCTTACTGGGACCAAAGGAGCTTCAGATTTCAAATCATTTTCAGATTTTAAAAGTAAGAGATAGCTTGAGAACCAGACCCCAAGTTTAAAATGAAATCTGTATGTACCTTACACATATAGCTTAAAGTAATTTTCATAATATCTTGAATGTCCTGTGTTTTGACTTCAACCTGTCATGTGAGGTCAGGAGTGGAATATTCCATATCTGGTATCATGTCAGCACTCAAGAAGTTTCCAATTTTGAATCCTTTCACATTCCTTAAGGATTCTGAAAATACACTGATGCAATATACAATGCTTTATTTTCACTGCTGAGGTCTAATGTGTGTGATCCAGAATGACTAAGAATCACAACAAAATGTTATGGGTAACTGCTCAGACTATAAATTCATTCTCTACCAACACCAAATAAGAAAAAGGCTGGGGTTTTAAATAAGATATTTAAGTCAAACTGATGTGTTTGCCTTCACATGATACCAAACTGGGGAGATAAAAAGCAAGGATTAAACTTGGTTCTCAAATGCAGACCATAAGGAGTAAGACCGATTTTCATTCATTTTCAAACACCTGTAAGTTGTAGATACACTGATCTACAAGAATGCTTTTTACAGTCCCATCATAGGTCTTCAAAACTAGGACAAAAATCAACTGCACTTCTGGTAAATGTAGAACTTGTCCTTCCCCAGATCCCAGTGTCCTCTTCTCTAGTATCAGTGACCTATGCTGAAGAGGTGAACAGCCGTGTGGTAGAAGCTCTCCAGATCCTGGACACCATGGTGCTGCCTGCTCCTGCACTCAGGGCCACTGGTCACTGCAGCCTGAGTCCTGTTGTTCTTTCAAGAGACAAGAAAGTCAGGAAACAGAAAGTTCCTAACAGGCCTACATATGGTAGAAACGAAAGAGAGGAAGGGAAGAGAGGCAGGAAAATGACACTTATCTACAGTTTGTACAGTCAGAAACTCTAGTCAATCTGAGGAAGGCAGAGGCCTCCAGCTCAGGCCAGCCACAGACCTTCCCCAAGTCCGCCAGGGCAGTGCAGGGCCACCAGCTCCAGCCCACACCAGGCTTCAGTGGGAACTGAGGAGTGCTGGGTTCAGGAGAGATGGTTTATTTTCTGAACCACAGCACTACACAAATATTCTCAGTGTTGACATCTCCCTTCTGAGTAGACTTCCACTGCACTGCTTGGGGAGAGCTTTTTATCAGTATACTGCCAAAGGTAGATTACTATGCTCTGCAGGCCACTTCTTCAAAGGACTACGTGCAGATGTTTCAAGCTGTTAAAACCGATACTGCACTTTGCACTGTCAAAGTTATTCTGAATTATTAACAGTTTAAACACAAGTTTTAAAGTCCTGCTATATTTTCACAAGTGATTTTTCAGTATTCATGGGGTAAATCACTTCATGTCTCCTGCACAAATGAAGAAGAACTCAGAGTCCACTTAAGAGAAATTCCCTGACCAGAAAGCTACCTGGGGAAGTGAGCTACTTAGTAAGAGATGGCCATATTAGGCTTTCAAGACATTGCCGAAACTTCAGTAGAAAACCCCACGGGCCGAAGGCAGCGCACACAAATTTACTCATCAGTAGTGCATTTATCAGTCATCTGCTGACAGAAATCCGAGATGCCAGCACTCTGACGGCAGGGCTCCAGCAGCGTGGCCTGCTCGGGGACAGGTGCGGTAGCTGCCTGGGACTCCTGCCCCTGTTCACGGCCAGCCTGGCTGCTCCCTCGCCCACTGGGAGGTGGTGCAGCTGGAGGCACATCAGATGAACTGAAAATCGAAGGAAATGCAAGTTCACCATCGGGAGTACTTTTTCCTTTCTCAGAAATTAAAAAGGAAAGGGGGCAGTCTGAGGCCGAGTACTTGGCGAGTATCTGGATCTGTTCCTGACTCAGAGCAGCTTCTTTGCAGACTTGCTGGCAAAGTCCAGTCAGGTTCTGCTTTGTCTCACCCAGCGTTGACAGAATGTGATCTCGTTCCTTCAGCAAGCTCTCCTTTTCACTTTGCTGTACAGAGGGGAAAGAGAACACAATGACTGGTGTTTATTAGGCCCTGATATTTCTAAGGTGATCAAATGTTCAGTATGTACAAGTTCTTAAGTAAGATGCCATGGACTGCTCGCTCTCAATCAATTCACATATACATCCATGTGAACATATCACAGAGGCATCTGCACATCCATGTTTAGTGCAGCAGTATTCACAACAGCTAAGTTATGCAGCCAACCTAGGAGTGCAGCAGAGGAACAAGTAACACCGTATATAAACACCATGCAAGTTCTTCAGCCATAAAGATGAAGTTATGTTGTTTGCAGAGAAATGGGTACGATGCAGATAATTACATTAAGTGAATTAAGCTAGTGTTAGAAACAAGTGGTTTTTTTTTTTCTATGCAGTTCCTAGATTGTATGTAGATACACAAGATCATGTATGTATATGAGACATGAAAACAGAAGAGAAACTGTCTACAACAAAGAGAACTAATGTTCGTGTGGAGGAGTTGGAAGGGGAGACAAGGGGAAAGAAGGGCGGGATGGAAGGCAGGCCAATGCACAGCATACACTTGTATGGCAATGTCTTTAAGAACAAAACGCCACATACAATGACAAAGGCCAGAAGCCTTGATCCAAAACTCCTGGAGTCAGACCTATCTTGGAATTCAGAACTTTTCACATTTTAGAAAATTAAGATGGATGTACACATAAAACTCCCCAGCAGGTATGGGGCAGCATCCTGCTACTAAGCATCTTTACATTTTCAATTGAAACAATGAAGTGTCAGATAATGCAGGAAGAAAAAACAGCTTGCAAATGGTTATCAATTTGGGCTAGGTTCGAGCCAAGATTCCATGACAAATTTGCAGTTTTCAGAGCAGTTAGATCTTGCACACTGTGGGTAAGTGTGGGCTTGACATTGTGGGTAGACCAAGTAGAGTACTGCACCTAGTCACCACTGCGACTCACTCCAGTGTGAGATTCAACTAATGACTGTTTTCCTGAGCAGTGACTGTAAGCTGGAGATTATCCTGAATATTTTAACTACGCAATCTCAGTCATGTAATCCACACAATGACTGGAAGTCATTTAACCTCACCAGAGAAAGATAGCAGGCAGGACACCTCTTCCCACCTGTGCCCTCTCTCTTCATCTGTAATCCGCAATATTCACTTCTAATTTGTTATGAGTTGGGGAACCTAATAATGAAGCTGCTTATAGGCTAGAAGTAAATAAATGCCAGCAGGGGCCAAAGGGCCACCTATGAAATTTACAGTGTCTTAGTAAAGCAGAGCCGCCTTCCACATGCTTTCTGCTTGCTGACAGGGCTCTGGAAGACTTGGAGTTGCTGGTAACATTGACATGAGTGACTTCACAGTGCCAATTTCCAACTGTCTGCTTTAGGGTCTCTTCTGGCACAAAAGTAGCTTAAAAGGCAGTAAGACCTTTGCTTTGTATGTAAATGCTATTATAACACCATACAAAAATATTTCTACGAAGTTATGGAGAATTCATCAGTGGGCTTTTAAAATATTTTTAAACTATATAATATTTTAAAATATACACTGAATAGAAATTCTTTTATTATATACACAATGTAGATTTTTATACTGCAGAGTAATTTTCTAACTTATTCAGCTTTCCTATTTTTGCTTCAAAACAAAAATAAGCACAGGTCAAGAGTGAATGAGTATGAGAGTATGTGTGTGAGCTACAGCAATGGTCAACCATTTACTCTCATACAGAGTTTGTAGTTAGACCAGATGAAATCAATCTGTAGGTGTCAAGAGGGCAGGAACAGCACGGACTTCTATCTTCTATTCCTGAGAAGGAACACATTTAATACACTTGGTACCCTGTCTTCTTGGGCCTCTCAGAAGCTAATCCTAATGAAGTTAGAACAAAGATCAAAGAAGAAAATGAGAACTGTCATTTTCGGTTTTTCTGTCAGGCAATGTTCAATTTATGAGCGCCTCTAATAAGGCTGAGATGAATCTATTCTAAACAGCAAAAGACAAAATGTAAAGTACTGGTAGGTTTAAATTAGGAAAGGTTAAACATGACCATGAACACTGGAGTTTCCTCTCACAGAACCTGGAAAAGCTGCAAAGGTTCCAAATATTACATCATTTCTGCACCTTTATGTAAATATCTGTATGATCCTTCTGCATTCTCACTCCTCCTGCCCCACTACATAAAGGATGACTTCAATCACTAAGAATGTCCCAGAGGGAGCTAGGGAGATGGCTCAGTAGGTAAGAGTGCTTGCTGCACAAGCATGAGGACCTGAGTTGGGATCCCCAGCACCCACATAAAAAGCCAGGCGTGGGCCCACATTCCTGTAGCCCCAGCACTGAGGGGGTAGAGGGAGGAGATGAGAGATCACTGGAGCTTGCTGACCAGGCAGCCAGCTTAGCCAATAAACAGCATGCTACAGGTTCAGTAAGAGACTCCGTCTTAAGGAGATAAAGTAGAAAGCAATGGACTGGCCTCAGCATGCACACATGGCTGCGCGCACACACACATACCCAGGGACACACACACAGGCACCCACATGTACACATGGACACGCACATGTCCACGTGAGTACACTCATGCACACATGGGTACACATACAAATGTGCGCGCGCGCACACACACACACACACACACACAGATGCACATGCACACATGCAAGTATAGAACGCACGCGCGCACACACACACACACACACACACACACAGATGCACATGCACACATGCAAGTATAGACTTTAAAAACTAAAAAGAATGTCCCACAGAAGATGGCTTGTTTCTGGATATACCCTAGAGCTCTAAAATCACTTTTCTATAAACTAAATGCTCTCCCCACTTCTGTTCCTCACTCTCCAAGCCAACTGCTATACAGCCACATTCAAAGGCAGTTACCCACCCGATGTTCCCTTCCATTCTAAGTGCAAAACATAACTTATGGAACCAGAATAGTTGAGAAATAGTAAATAGAAGTAATCCAAGAAAATCACCTCACAGCACTACTGTGGGCACCTACCAAATAAAGGGGGATCAGTTCAAAGACAACACAGGCAATTTACTGAGACTCTACCTCAAAACTTTTTTTTAATAAAGGGGGCTAACAATATAGTCCAGTGCTTAGTCAACATGCATGAGGCCCTGGGTTCAATACTGGGGAGTGGAGGGGAATGGTGTCTGAGCACCCCAATCCCAAGCTCAACCTCACTTCTTAGGAGTACAGTCATGATGCTTAACAACAGGACTATGTTCTAAGAAGTGTCTTATTAGGCAACTGTGTCACTGTACAAACTCCTAGACGGCACTATCTGCTACACACCTGGGCTCCAAACCTGAACAGTATGTTCCTTACCGAAGCTGTAGGCACTGACACACACTGCCTAAGTATCTGCACGTATGTAAACATAACAGCAGCACAGTGAAAATACAGTTAGAAGATTAAAGTACAGTGTACTTGAACAGGCACTTCCACAAGTGAAGCAGATGGAAACTTCTCTGGGTGAGAGGGTGGATGAGTGAGAGGTGAGGCCTGGTATTTTACTGTGCACCACCAGCAACTCTATAACTGTATATTCAGGCTATACTAAGTGTCCCAAACTATTTTTTTCTTCAGTAATAAACTTAAATTTACTATAAATGTTTTACTTTATAACTTTTAAAAGATTTTATTTATGTGCATGTATGTCTGAATGAGTTCATGTGCACTACTGCATGCAGATGTCTGTGAAAGTCAGGGGGCATCAGATCCCCTGGAACTGGAGTTACAGAGGGTTGTGAGTCACAGGATGCACATGCTGGGAACTGAACCCAGGTCCTCTGCAAGAGCAAGAGCTTATACCACTGAACCAGCTCTCTAGCCCCATTTTTTTTTTTTTTTAACTTTTGGAGTCTATTATAGTAACATGCAGCTTAAAGTACAAATAAACAGAAGATGGTGACGGTAGTACTGCATAGCTATCAAAAGTATTTTCTTTAGGTCCTTACTCTATAAACATTTTCCTACTTTAAATTTTTCCCTTGATCTTATTTTACTTATTAAAGTAGTCCATTAAAAATCAAGGCACACGCACTGGCCCAGGCCAGCACAGGGTCAGCAACATCAGTGATCTCACCGGTCCCACACCCTGCCCCACTGGAGGATCTTCAGACACACAACACACATGGATCTGCTGCCTCCTGTGACAGGATCCCTGAGGACGTGCCTGAGGCTCTCCTAAGAGGGGGCTCACTTTGCAGCAAACAGGCAGGAGGCAGTTTGCTCGGTTTGTTCTTTTCCTCATCAGACAGATCTGCTGGTGAGCAGACAACTCACTGAGCACACTCCTGTAAGGAAAAGCCTTTCAGCGTCGGAGTAGGACTTTGTCATTACATTTCTGTGTCTGGAGGAAGGTCACGTGAAGGGTTGTGGCACATATGGAGGTCAAAGGACAACTTGTAGGAATCTGTTCTCTCCTTCCACCATGTGGGTCCCAGGGATCAAACTGGGTTTGCCAGGCAAGCAGCTCCCCCTTCTGAGCCATCTCACCGACCCAGGAGTCCACCTTCTACAGGAGCTTGCTGAGGTCCACAGAGGCTGCCGCTAGCCCCTCCTGGGCTTTCCTCCTGCAGCTTCCTCCTCAGCAAGGCAGCAGCACTCATCAGCCTGCGCACCTGTGGATGCTGCAACCAGCACAGCATCACAGACACGTCACGGGCAGCACACAACTGCGCTCCAAGCTTCACAGTCTTTCGCTTCTGGCGCTTCCTTATTCGTATTTGCTAATAAGCACATTTTCTGCCCATCTTTGTCCAAGAGAGGCATCTGTGGCAGGGCAGACTTTGCTGTGGCTCCACGCCTGGGCAACAGGGACTGACATCAATGACTGGAGCTGAGGGTGGGGCGAAGGACAGAGTTCAAGGAAGAAAGAACCCAGCATGTCAGCACTACACAGCTCCACAGTAACTCCCAGCCCCGGTGCTTGTGGAGGAGCCAGGGACAGAGCTAAGCCAGGGGCAGCAGACCCCATTGGCCCCCTGCTCAGATCTCCGTCTAGGCACCCAAGCCTTGCCAGGCCAGTCCTCCTCCAACACTGGTGCCACCTGCAAGCTGTCTATCTTCAGAAGTCCTGAAGACCCTCATGAGCCCCGCCAGGGAGGAGCACAAGGGCACACTGGGCGTGGGAGGAGGGGTGCAGACACCCTGGAGGAGTCCCCGGACCCAGCCCCACTCTACCACCTTACAGCATATCATCCCATCTATTTTTCCTCATATGCTTCCTTTTTTGTAGCCAGCATCCAAATTGATCAACAGGTCAACCAGATACTAACCATTCAGTATTCTGCGTTCACAAAAAGGGCCAAGAAACTACTGGCTTTGCATAGGGAAGTAATGAGCCTTCTGGTGACCACAGAAATAGTCCTGGCCGGCTGAGTGAGGCAGAGCATAAAGGAAGGGCAGCTGTGATCACAGCTTAGGGGGTGACAAGAAGGAGGCCAGCAGAGGCGAAGGAAACAGAACATAAGGAAATAACCACATAAACACACAAGATGGGTAAAATAAAGCACATCTTCAGCAGCATTATTTTGGGGAACAGTGAGAAAACTGGATACATTCAACTGACAACTATAAATTGTAATTGGTTGAGGCAAACGGAGAACCGTACAGCAGAAGTAAGCACTAGAGTATAATCCCCGGCCAACTACAAAGAACGCCACGTGACCCGCCTACGTTCGGCTGTTTACACGGTACCTAACAACAAACCAAGCACTATAAATCCATTAGGATGCTATGCTCATTCTAAAGGCAGGGACGTGTTAAAGGCAGGGAAAACCAGAACGACTCAGTGCTCAAAGGTAGGAGGAAGCCTGCTGGCTGCGCAGGGCTTCCACTGTGGTTCTAATTATCCAATAATTTTTCAGCAATCTCATGTCAACATTTACCAAACATTTTATTTCTCCATCTTTTTATATAGTGATACTGCATCTTTTCCAGAAGGTACACTCAATTTTAGTTTTCAACTACTCTTGAAGCTGTAAAGACACTTTGACTACACTGCACTGTTTCAGTGCTTGTGCCTGAAGGCCAGTTACAAGCACAACTTTTAATTTTCATTCATGATTAACAAAGAAACAAAACTGCATGTTCAAGAACTGTTTTGACTGCTGCTAGACTGTTTCCCTCCTGCCTCACCATGTGTAGCCCTCAGCTGGCTTACTATCATACAACACTTCATTCACTAACAACGGGAAAACAGAAACAGGAGCAAACCAATCTATCTTCCAGTTAGTGTTTCGAGGCTGGAATTGAAAGATTTTCTAACCAAGCACTTTCCTGAGCTAGGACCTCACTGCACCCTAAAAGTTTCATTCAAATCACAGTATCATACCAGAATTTTCCCCTTGGAGAAAGATACTGGATAATCTGCTTGGTTTTGGTATCAACCGAAACAAGGTAATTCAGGTCTACAGTTGATTTAAACTACCCAACTGGGAAATTAACTTTTATAGGACTCAAACATCATTAAAGTACTGTATGATTACTTTAATCTTTATTCAACCACTAAGGCTTAGATAATAAAATCAATTAATTTGAAAAATCTTTCTTAGGTTTTTTTTTTTTTTTAACTAAATTCATCTTAATCGTCTTTATCCCCCTTCCCCACTGGCACCTCCCACAGCCCCGGCACTGGAATTCATGCATTGTCATTTTTGTTAAGGCCCTTAGTAAAATATTTTTTTAACTTATCCAGAAATGGTTCCCCACTTACACATTTTAATATATCAAGCTAAGAGGTAGGATGCATCTATAAGTAAAATAGTCAATAAAAACCCTGTTTTATGTCTTCTAATCTTTCTGAACATGACATGTAATTTCTCTTAAAATGGTAATTGAACACTGTATCTTACCATGGAAGCTAAATAGCACTCTTTTTCCTACAAAAAATGAAAGATCTGGGATTTGAATAATGAAAACTCCACCCACTTACTAGCTTCTCGATCTCTGATTCAAGATTCTGAATGCAGTCGAGTTTCCTTTTGCGACAGCGCTGTGCAGCAATTCTGTTTTTACTTCTTCTGCGGATGTCATGGATACAGTCCAGTTGCTCTGGGGTCAGTTTGTGCATTTTCAACAAGGATTGAAAATCATTTCGGGACAGTGAAATTATTCTCTGAGCATTGAATGGCAGTTTTACCTGGAATGTGAAGTAGGCATTAGTGAGCACTGTTATAGGCGAAGATAGGCCTTGTAGTTCCCAAAGTTTAACAGACTGAAAAAACACAGGCTGCGGGCCCAAAGAGATGGCTCAGAGGTAAAAAGCACTTACAAAAGGCCCACGTTTGATTCCCAGCACCCATATTGGGCCGTTCACAATTGCCTTTAACCTGATGTCCTCTTCTGGCCTCTGAAAGGGATTCACACACATATGCAAACCTACATATATGTATATTAAAATAAAATACATCTTTTTTTTTTTTTTTTGGTCTTTTTGAGACAGGGTCTCCCTGTAGCCCCAGTTGTCCTGGAACTCTCTCTGTAGAGCAGGGTGGCCTTGAACTCACAGAGATCTGCCTGCCTCTGCCTCCTGAGTGCTAGGATTAAATACATCTTTAAAAAATAAGCCTGTATTTTCCAATTTTTAATATATCCATCATAGTAAGAACTAATAGATCAAATTGATACTCCTACCCCTGAGAGGGCTCAGAAGACAAAATGAGAAACAAAATTACTTCTCAGCAAACCACACTTATCAATCCAAATAGTAATGCACTTAAAATAGAATTTATTTTACTACTTTGTTAATAATTGTGTTAATTCTGCATTTTACTACCTGTATGTTAGTAATACAGATTACTTTGTTTCTGCCTACAGTATTTTTAATAAGTGCTTCTCAACTTCCAAATAAAACACCTTTTATTTCTGACTATCACTACGTGGCACTGACTTAACATTGGTACAATTACACTAGCCATTTCTAATGCACGTCAGAAAACTTATTTTCTGTCAAAAACTGTAGCTTCATATAATGTCTTTAAATAGCTACACATCTCACTTGCCAATGTGCAAACTGTTAGAAAAAAGTTATATGAATATTTTTACCTAGAGTTTTTAAATTTGTTTTGATGGTAATGGGGATGGAACACAGGGTCTCACACATGCTAGGTAAACACTCTATCACTGTATCCTTAGCCCTTTGTGGTATTTTAAAGTCATTTTCAATCTATTTAAACAAATTTTCAAAAAGCAGCAGGTAACTTTTTCTTCTAAGGAACAATATTGTGAAAGTCTAGTTCTGCTAGCAAAACCCAACTGGTACTGGGTGTCCACGGTACACGCTTTTAATTCCAGCACTCAAGAGGCAGAGGCAGGAAGAGCTCTGTGAGATAGAGGCCAGCCTGGTCTACAACAGCAAGTTCCAGGCTAGCTGGGGCTAGAGAGAAACGCCATGTCGAAAAAGAAAAAAAGCAAGCAAGAAAGAAAAACCCCACAACTATAACACTGGTCAGCATGCTTTTCCAGCCAATAAAACTAGGGTTAAAGTTTTGAAAGATGCTATTTTCAGCATTCTTTTTATAATACTGTAATTCCTGAGGCTCAAGTTTGTAAAGTGCCATAGGAACCTACAGCTATCACCCACGCTTACTCATTACACAGGTTAAATCAATAACCCACTTCCTTCCAGGGCTTAGGTTAGGGCTTCCTTCCATAAGCCTTAACCTTTTAGGCTTATGTCATCTAACCACTACAAAACTAAAGAAAATGGGGCTGGAGAGATGGTTTGGTGGTTAAGAGCACTTGCTGCTCTTGCAGAGGACCCAGGCTCAGTTCCCAGCACCCATCAGCTAATAACCATCCATAACTCTAGTTCCAGGGGATCCGACACCCTCTTCTGGCCTCCACAGGCATTGCATGACAAGGTACACCTACCTACATGTAGGCAATACACTCATACACATAAAATAAAAATACTTTTTTAAAAAAGAAAATGCTAAAGAATGGGAAGTGAAGAAATTGGATCCTCTGTGTTCAACTAGTGGGAAAATGGTGCAGTTGCTATGAAGAGCAGTATGGAAACAATGTTAAGACAAGTACCGCATCTACTTCTAGGTATTTGTCCAAATAAATTGAAATCAAGATCTCAAAAGGTATCTGCATTTCTATATTCACTGTAGCATTATTTACAACAGCCGAGACATGGAAACAACCTGAATATCCATGCACAGTTGACTGCGTAAGGAGAATGCAGTAAGCATGTGCGTATGTGACAGTGAGGTATGATTCAGCCTTATAAAAAGGAAATCCTATTACTTGCTGCAATATGTATAAACCTGAAGGGGATTATGCTAAGTAAAACAAATCGAATTCAGGAGAGTAAATTCTTTCTGTTACCTAACAGGGTAGTCAAGCTGACGGCAAATGGCAGAACGGTGCTTGCTGAGGACAAGGATTGCTGTGCACTGGATGGTTTGAATTTCACGGATTAAGTTCTAGACACACACCATGAAATACACGCCCAGAGCTAGCAAGCAGGGACAGAGCTCATATAAACACAATGTTTTGTTTTGTTTCATTGGTTTTCTGAGAGTCTCTCTGTATCCCCAGCTTGTCTGGAATTCAGCGTGTACACCAAGCTGGCCTTGGCCTCACGAAGATCCGCCTGCCTCTGCCTCCTGAATGCTGGGGTTAAAGGTGTGCACCACCACACTCAGCTAGAAATACAAAATTTAAAAAGCAAGTCAAATGCAAAGAAAATTCATGGTATGATTGAAAATTATAAAAAGTGAAAATTGCAACTGTAAATTAAAAAAACGGACCTTGAAAAACTAAATGACATCTAGTTTCTAAACAGCAGGTGGTAACTATTATTACTGAATTCATATTAATATTTTACAGAAAGCAGCTATTAAGTACTAAGTATACACTTTTATAGACAGGGTACCCAAATCAAGTTTGGTGTGGTTAATTTAGTAACACCAGCTACATGTAAACCATTGAGACATTCATTATACTAACACCTAACTGGTTAAGGAAAAATAAGACAGGAAAAAATAGTAATGGCTATAAAAATCTAGGTCTAAGAAAACTTTCCTAGAAGCCATACTCCTACAACTAATCACAGCCATGGTCCACATGGCTCTAGCTAGTCCCAAGTGGTAGGCAACAGCTGCTACCACAGAAAGACCAGAGACAGCATCATTATCCTTTTCTCTTGTTTAGGACGTGGCATTTGATTTAAACAGGTGAATAGCCAGTATGCAGGTCCCCGTGGTTAACATACACATACCAACATAAAATGCATGCACATGGCAGTCTTTCTAACTCCAAAAACTCCATCTCACCCTTCTAGTATTTTCCACACAGACTCCTAAGTTTCTTCCTCCCTCCCTGAGTCTGTGTAACCAGAGCTGACCAACAGCACACCTCAATGAATGGCTATTCTATGATTAGAACACACTCCTTCCTGCTCACCTCACATTCTTGCTCTCTGGCAGAGCAGGACTCACTGTCGCCTTCTGTGTCCGTCTCAGAGTCGTCACCCAAACTGATCACACAAGCATATGGACAGGGTTCCTGCTGAGGCTCTGAAACATAATCATCACTTCCAATTTCCAAGTTGCTTGAACAGCCTTCAGAACTCAGAGTACTTATAAAAGGGCAGTTGACAGAACTCAGGGTTGTGAAAGTTCTCTGGCCGGGCTCTGGGCTCTCACTGATCCTGATACCCAACCAGGGACACTCAGAACGCCTCTGTGAGTAGTTCTGTTCTGAGCCGTCTTTGGCCACAGCAGGTGACAACTGCATTTGGAGAGACGAGTCTGTGCTGCAGATGTCACTCCAGAAGCCTTTGGCCAGATGCTCCGCCACCTCACGCTCCACACTGCTGCGGTCACTAGGTGCAAGGCTGCTGTCTTCTTTGGGGCCCGTGTCAGACTTCATATATAAATCCTGACTTTCACCAAATGGCTTCTCTTCTTGAGCATCTGTACCTGACAAAGGCTTTTCTGTTTTCACTGTTGTACTTTGCATACCAGCAAAGCTCAGGTCACTGGACTGATCATATGTGTGTATGAGAGATAGAGAATAGAGCCCATGAGAGTCTGCAGGGTTGGGAGGGAAAGGCGTCCCTTCTGTCTCCTCTGCTGGGCACTGAGAGACAGGGCCTTTTCTCTTTGTGTTTTCAAGTTCCATGGCTGACTTTTCTTCACATTTTAAAATCACCTGCCAATCTGCACAGCCCTGGACTCCCCCTAGACACTCAAGTTCAGATGTCTCATTTGGTTGGCCAGAGGCAGTATAGACATCTTTGATGCCAGATTCCAGAGTACGGATTTTGTCAGTTCCAAATGCTTTCTGAAATTTTCTGTACTTAGGGCATAAAGATGGCAAAGCAAGAGCTGCATCCTTCTCCAAGCACATGGACTGGCATGTCTGACTGGCACTGTCCTGGAGGGGAGGCGATGCTTTTACAGTACCTTGACATCTTTGGAGTTTACACTGAGGAGTCTGAACACTGTTCTTCTCCAGGAACTCCTCTGCTTCCCCAATTTCTGTATCTCTCTGGTCTGAAAGTGAAAACTTAAGGTCTGCTTTCTGACAGTGGGAGAAGCATTTTTTCCTGGAGCATTCTTCCTGGTCTGCGGTGGAGTCCAAAAACTTAAACTTGAGAAACTGAAAACAGGATTCTTCAATATTGTGTACACTTAAAAACTCCACACACTTGCACACTTCATCAACATTGTCTTTACTTAAAATTAGTTTGGCAGTGTAGGCAAACTGAATTAAAGGTTCAAATCCTTTGACTGTCACCTGTTAATACACAAGATAAAAATAAACACATTATTTGAGAGCTGCCTAGTAGAGAAAACAAAGAGAGGGCGAAGAGCAACGGGAGATTAAAACTTATCTACGGCAATCAAACAGCAGGCATTTTCATTTGGTAAAAAAAGATACTCTTCTAGGAAATGGAAAAGTAAGGGAGACTAGAAAAGCATCCGTCCCCTCCCTATTCTGTGGGATGGAACCTCCACTTTAGGAATCCCACTCTTAGGCACACAGAAATACAATCGACTAAGACATTGTTGTAATTCCCCCACTGTACAGGAAATAAGTCATTTATGAAATAAAGTGGGATGGATCCCACCTGCAGCCCTGGCACAAAGTGCCAGGCATCTCCTGCTAGCCCAGACTGTCAAGCAATCCTAGCAGTATTAAACTACACAAGGGAATTTTTAATAAAAAATGTGAAGCACTTACAAAGTAATCTTAAGCCATGATAAACACACAATAAACAGTGAGTACTACCTCATGCCAAACACTTCCAGTATCATTTTTTTTCTTTTTTTTCTTTTTTTTTTTTTGTCTTTTTTGAGACAGCTGTCCTGGAACTCACTCTGTAGACCAGGCTGGCCTCGAACTCACAAAGATCCGCCTTCCTCTGCCTCCCAAGTGCTGGGATTAAAGGCGTGTACCACCACGCCAGGCTTTCAATATCATTTTTAATGATTCAGATTGTAAAGGCAGTGCAGTTCTGTCACAGCGAGCTTTGCCGGCTCTAGGCAGCAAAGCCTTTAAGGAGAAACATTTGCACTGAGCCAGCCTGTCTCTTCAAGGTCAGAGGCAGATAGTGTGCGTAAGTGCAGAAGCAGCTCAGCCTAGGTTAGAAAGACAAATTAAATTTAAAATCTTGAGTTCCCATTAAGACTGACCAAAATATTAAGATTCTCCTAAAACACGCTAAGCTTAGGAGTATTTAGCTTTGAAACAGCTAGAATAAAAAATAAACACCACCAAATTCCCTTGAGAACAAAGAAACTGGGTCATTCACAAGGCTGCTGGGAAAATCAGGCAGCTTACCCACTTTTAAAAAACCACTTGGTAGTGTCTTATAAACTAAGCATGCAGGTGCCATACAGCAACTGCACTCCTGGCTGGTTGTTGTTTATCTCATTTTTAACCCTGGTTAATGAAAACATACACAAAAACCTGAACCAACTGAAATTAATAGCATTTCCTTTAATAGGTGACGAGTCTAAGAAAAACACTAGTATATAAATATTATGTAGGGGACAGTATTAAGCAACAACATGGAATAAACTATTGATACACAAAGCAGGGTGATAGTCTATAATGATGCTTAAGAGATTCATTCTAAGTGAGGAAAGCCAATCCCAGCAAGGCACATAAGGCCACATGGCTCCATTTATTTTTTTAATATTTTATTTATTATTTTTATTTTATGTGTATGAGTGTATTGCCTGCGTGTATGTAAGTGGACTTGTGTCATGCAATGCCCACTCAGAGATCAGAAGAAGGTGTCAAATCCCCTGGACTATAGTTGTGAATGGCTGTCAGCTACCATGTGGGTGCTGGGAATCGAACCCAGGTCCTCTGCAAGAACAGGCAGTGCTCCTAACCACTGAGCCATATCTCTAGTACCACATGGTTCCATTTATGATCTTTGAAATGGCAAAACTTCACAAAAGGAAGTCAGATTAATGGCTGCTGCATCTATACACAGTAGAGGAGAGATGAATGAGGGGGAAGGCTAGGAAGGAAGTAGGAGTGAACTTAAGTTCAAGGGATCCTTCCGTACTGGCTACAACTGTTCAATTTCTTCACTGGCGCTGAATACAATAACCTTCACAAGGCACAGCATGTAATACACACAGAAAATATGAACATAGAATGCTTCAGTGATCTGAATACCAAGAATGGACTGTGTCACAGAAATACCCTCATTGTAACACTGTAATTTTTTTCAAAATGTTAACCCTGGGCAGAGTGTAAAAGGGAATTCTACATTATTTCTTACAACTGTATCTGAATTTATAATTATCTCAATACAAATTTGAACTAGTTTTCCAAAACACATTCAAACAACGAATAATATGCTATTATTTTCAATCCTTCACTGTGAAAGAACACTTCAAATATTTGAAAAGATTTGAGATTTAGATTCCAAATTTAAATGAATTTAAGACACCCACATATATACATTAAACATACATGTGTATACAAATACATAAATCTTTTCTCACAAATCCATGAAAACAAACTTTGCTCTATCTGCAATGCCTCGGTACATCATCTGGAATATGAACAATATATATGCTGCCACCGTGGCTCATGCCTCCTTTTTAAGGAATGGTAGTGCACCCTTCACTCTACCCACACAGAAGGGCAGGTAAGCTAGCGCCCCCCCCCCCTACAGCCACAGTCCCACACAAGCGCGCCAAGCCTGTGACCAGCTCCTCCACAAGGTTGCTCTACAGTTTATCTAATTATCAACTAACATCGCACACAGACAGGCCACACACATTTTCCACATCTCATCCTACTTTACCTTCAGACTCTGCTGTGTGCCATGTCACAGTGTGTGCCCATGTCACAGTGTGTGCCCATGCCACAGTGCTGCTGACAGCAGTGACCGCCAAAGCACCCACTGCAGTGAACAAACCCAGGAGGATGCAGTGCAGCCAGCCCTCCCTACCTAAGACTGTCTGTCTTGGGGCCAGGCAATGACAAAGACCCAAATACTTACAAGCCTCAGCTGAACAGCAGACTAAGATGTACATAAAACAGGGCTCTGCAAGCAAGACACAAACTGCTTCCTTCTTTAAATGTTTACTTATGGGGTGGGGGGCAATGGCAGCATGCATGCAGAGGGCAGAGGACAACCTGCAGGAGATGTATCTCTCCTTCTACCATGAGAGTCCCAGGGATCGAACTCAGATCAGGCTCAACCAACCGCAAAGGCCTTTACCTGCTGAGCCATCTCACTGGCTCAAGACAAATTATGTCTCTCTTCCCAAAGCATGAAGATAATTGCAAGAATAAAGCAAAGGGGGAGAAATGTGATGCTTACAGAGCATCTTTTCACGGGGGATGTCTAGGGGAAACAAAGTGTACAAACTCTGCACCTTGTCAAAGCTGTCCCCCACAGGAAATAGTCCATGAGGACAGAGGGTCAGAAAGCCTGTGGTCTCCAAGCCACGACCCTTCCAAACACTTATAACCTAGCAGGTGGACCACAATTTAAGTATTTTATCAAAAACAATAACATAGTGAGTCATTATCCCCTTGTTCAATAAATACTAACATTCAAAGTCATGATTTTATATGAAAAAAGCCAGAGATAGGTTGCTGGAGAATGATTTGTTGGCAACTCCAGTTCCCTGGGGAGATGGTGTCTATTTTTCACATTACACCCAGAAGGTAGTTAAGTCACACTAAGCCACCACCAGGCCCCAAGGCCCCTCACCTCCTCAGGCAGTGTGATGGTGAGGTCAGCACTGGCCTGGCCTACGATTCTTGAGTGGAAGTAACTGCTACATGCAGCCAGCACCGAGCGGTGGGCTCGGAACCGCTGGCCCTCCACCAGGACGGTGACGTCGCACAGCACGTCCTTCTTCCGCTGGTCATTGAGGCTGAGCAAGACGTTGGTGCTGTGCACTGAGGACTCGTAGGCAAAAACTGCGCTCTCGCTCACAGACATCCTGGGTGGGAAACGGTGTCAGGGAGTGCAGTGGAAAGCATGCTGCTAACTGTCATCCACCTGCAAAGACACATAAAAGCCTTCACTTAACAAATGCTGTTGAAAAGTGGTTTCTAAAATGTCAGACTGTATAAATTAAATGATGTACTCATCCCTGATACAGAAAGGGAAACAAAATCCTCCGGAGAAGCACAATTCATTCAACATATCTCAAAGTAAATTGATGATGGCAAGTCTCAACTTAGGACAAAGGATCTTAGAAAGAGTAAGAACTTTTCTAGCCAACTTCTTGGCCATCTCAAAGTAAGACATTCACAGTTAGTAAAAGCAAACAGACTGGCTAGAACTGGTGGCCAGTTCATGGCGTGGCCACGGTGGGATGGTCACACTTGGGGGTGGGACATCCCCCATTCTCCAACAATGGAGAGAGGCTTTCCATGTAGGCGTGCAGTTCTACGCAAGATAAACCTCCAGCACCATGGGAAGGAGTCTCCTGTGTGTCGGGACACATCTGGTAATTCTGCCCACTGCACTACCAGAGCCAAGCATAGGCAAAGGCACCTTATGGTTTATCGTGTGCTTTAGAAAGTCATCACAGTGTATTTTGGACACATGAGGGCCTCCAAATAGTTTTGATTACATGCACAATACTGCTACAAAGAAGGGGGTACTCCAAATGCATGTATGTGTATTTACCTATATGTCATGACCTTCCTGATCTACAAAGCTTATGTAAGAGACTAAAAGGCGTCATTTCCTTCTGGTCCGCATCCCCAGCCTGTGGTGAGCACTCAGGAGTGTGTACCCCAATTGTGACGACCACACCAATGAACGCAATAAGCTCCTCATTGTACCCTAACTGCACCACTCAGCTCTTCTGACACTTTATTCGCTGCCTGAGAAGCGGAGGCCCCTGAGGGTCAGTGAAGGAGAAACTTGCTTTCAGACTTGACATAGGAAAGGAGAGCGAAAGGAGAAATCAGGACTATGCAATTCAGTCAGACCCTTGGTGGTTCCACCTCCAAGACCAGCTGTTTTAGTTGCAAACACCCAAAATCCATCTATAAACTCTCTTCTACTTCTGTTTATTTTTAAAGACCTCAA